CCCCCCCCCCCAACTCACACACTCACTCGTTCGCTGGCGCTTACGAATGAAAAAGAAGGGCGGGCGAGCACATCGGGAAAGCAGATCAGAAGACGTGAGCGGAAACTAACCGCGCTGGCGTCTGCACGCATGCAGCGAAAAAGAAGTAAAGAAGCGGGCAACGCGAAGGCGGGCCAAAGGTGCGTGTCTATAGAAGAGACCAATTGACTCAGCTAGACGACGTCGCTGCTGCTACTGCTACTACAGAAAGACTATTAGGGGGATGCGGGGGACGTATGGGCTCTAACAGGGAGGAAGGACTTGTTCATCCTTCAGGAGCCGGGGGAACGAGCACGGCATGGGGCCGAATCGACGGGAGATGAGGAGCTCGCGCGCGCGCCAAGCCCGTAATCCTCGCGAGCGAACTTGCGTGCAGTATACGGCGTCATCTGGCTACGGGACAACAGTGCCGCCGTGGCAGAACAGGGCTCAGCATGAACACTGCAGGTTGGGCAGCGTTGGCGTAGCACTCGCGCAAGACCTGCAGCCTGTACAAGTCCATGTTTATAACACAAAAGCTTCACCAAGTATATCGTCTCACCCAATGTATACATACACCTTGCGTCTTCTAAATGACCACGCGCTCCAAGGTTCCACAGAGTCACCACCGCCCATCCAGTCACAACCGGAAGTCACTCAAGTTCACTTATAACTTGAGGCGGCCGCGCCTGAATCCTGTTTCACAGCGTGTAAGCGAAGTTGATCAAGGTGTCAAACAGTATACACTGCGGCGTTCTTCAGCTAAGTTGTCAATTAAGCGTCAAAACCTGCGCAGCAACCCCCCAAAAAAAGCGGGCGCCACAGACGTTCGTTCTCTCGCGCTACAGACAAGAACAGTCGCCTTGTGCCAACCCGACTTCGCTGCGGGCTACTGCGTACAGCAACGCGGCTGCGCGCATTCCACGCTCGGTCCTGCATCATTTAGGGAACGCGCAGCGGGAGGCTGCTTTCCTATTGTTTTTTTGTAGCTCCGCCAGGTTGCTACGTACAAAAGACGAAGTTTTTCCTGACGAGGACGGAAAGACAATGGTAAAAAGAGGGTACAAGAAAAAAAAACAGTAAGCGAGTTTATAGATAAACCCGACTAACTGTGCAAGCATTCAGCGATGTAGAGCACGTGAGAGATGCAGGGAAGCCGATCACGAAACGTATATGCGCGCTCCGGTGTTGTATTCACACGCTAATTTGCAACCCACACACGTCCTAGAGTCTCCTCTCTCGTTCCCCTGTACAAGCTTCATTCGGTGTTATTTAGCGAAATGACACGGTATATATAACGTCTCTGAAATAAGGCGCACTAGTAGATAGTGCGGAGGGAAACAATCGGATTCATTATGTATAAGCTAATCTGAAGTTGCGTGTAGGTCCGCTTGGAAGGAAGCTTTATAGTAATTGGACTTGCATCTTCCCGAAATGAACTGCTCCTTTCTTACGATTTTCTTCCCCTTGTTGTTATTCTTGTCCTACTTCTTATTCTTTGTAAGTGAGTCGGGAACGAAGCAGCGGATTGCACAGCCGCCCAGACTCGTTCTTCGCGCTGATGCCACGAGCAGAGCCGGGTACGCAACGCAGAAAACGCGTATACAGAAGACAAGGAGCTTAAGTGTGGTATATGAAGCGACAACGGGGACTGCTATAGGCAGCACGGCAGAAGCTGGGAAGATATATATGAGGAGGGCGCACACGAAGAGAGGTCCAACTGAAATATGTAGCAGCCGCCTCTTCTTCATTAGCCTCCGTTGGAGAACAGCTATAACATATATATAGGCGTCTACGTCTTGTTAACGAAAACCATTTACCTCGACGTCTTACATCATCATCATCTACTTGACTATGTCCACTGCACTACAAAGGCCTCTCCCATGTTCAGCCAGTAAACTAGCTCGGTGCTGTGCTTGCTGCTGCCATTTTATGCTTGCAAACTTCTTAATCTCATCCGCCCACCTAACTTCCTGTGTCCCCCTAACCAGCTTGCCTTATATCACTTTAAATATACGACGATTCGTGGGAACCGCCTTTAGGTCATTATGCGGCTTGTCACATGTCAGTGCTTTTTCGACACACACACACACACACACACACACACACACACACACACACACACACACACACACACACACACACACACACACACACCGGCAACCAAGAAACCTTAGAGTCATTATTTCCTTTCCCAATTCAGTAAATATACATATGTACCGAGTAAGACATCAAGCCATCCAGGATCACTAGCCTGAGAACAAAGCGAATCGCGCTGCATGCACATGCACGCGGATTCGCGCACCACAGCCGGTAGCCATTATCGTTATGCAAAGGCGGCGAAGGTCGGCGGCCCAGCAATCATGAACAAAGTGCTCGGGTTCCCCGAGACAAACTGAGTCGGGCGGCCTGCCGAAAGCCCCTGACCGCCTCCCGCCAGCCCGCATGCAATCAGGCTCGTCGCGACTGCAAAGCCCGCGACGATACGCCGCGACCTCGAAGACGTTGAACATGGTCATTAAAAAGTTTGTCGTCCCCGCATGCAGCCGCCCGCTTCATGGGCCACACACACACATGGACTACATGTACGTGCACGCGTACCGCGCGTAATCGCACACACAACGTCGATCGGAGGCCGCGCTCGTTCTATTCCGGAATCGTGCATGGCGAATTCGGCGCACCGGTAGCCTAATTGAAGGCGTGCACGGGGCGAGCGGCTTTGTGCAGTTATAAGCACGACCGGTCCGTGATTGCGGGCGCAGGAAATTGCAGTCGCGGTCCTGTTCACGACAGAAGCGGGATCGGAAAGCCCACCACGGTGAACTCTCAGCGGTGCGGGCGCACAATCGGAAGGCCTCGCATGCGAGGACTCCCCGCGGAGAGACATCTTTTCCAGCAGGGCATCGAACGCATGCAGTACATTCGGGCGGACACGCCTGTATATGTAAATACTAGATATGTATATGTAAAATAATAATAAAAGAGCGAGCTCTTCTGATTGGTCGTTTGTAAGCTCAGCGGTGTCACGTGATCGTTGCTGACACCACGCAATGGACGGTCTTCAAAGTGCAGGGAATAGTAAAAGAGAGAGAGAGAGATAAATAAAAAGGAAAGACAGAAAGGTTAAATAACCAGAAGGCTCCGGTTTGCTACACTGTGCTTGGGTAGGGTAAAGGGAACGCGAAAGAGTTGGTGAAAGAAGAGTTGGTGACAGTATAGAAAGAAGATGATGTTACTGGAGCACTATAAGAACATACCTTAATTTTTATTTACACAGAGCTGGCCTCGCCGCAGCTCCTCCTAACTGTTCTTTTTGCGGAGTACATGAGAAAACTGAACATTATCTCATTTCCTGCAACAAATATTCCACGCTGCGGAATAATGCTCTGGGTACCGTTTGCCGACTCCTTAGACTAGATCTAAATGTACCAAATGTGCTTTCGTTCGGGGCTTTGTCCCTGGGCCACAGTGACGGGAAGGTTGTCGATGCCTTGGCGGAGTTTATTATATGTTAAAAGAGAGTTACATCGTAGAGCCAACTCACACTCCTATTTTCTAAATTACGTTTAAATTCCCAATTATTATATTCTAAATTACGCAGCTCCGAGTTACTATACCAATGTTTGTTCTCATCTATTGGTCATATTTGCCATTTTGTCACATTACAACTTCTTTCATCTTTAACGAAACGACATTTAATCAAATAATTAAGAACTTCCGAAAACTACCCGCTTCTTGGCCGATCCCCAAGCGTGGGTATGTGCCACTGTCCAAGGTTCTACTCTACTCTGCTGTCCGCAAACAGTCGCAGTTTGTCTATAAGCCCGTTTGCTTGCGGAAACCGTCCCAACGCCTTCAGAGCAGCTCGTGAGACAGACCGGGTAGGCCAGGGCCCCAGGATTTCGTTCTCTGCCAGGGGGCGGTTGTCCAGCTGTTCGAGAGCGGCTGTGAGTCACAGAGAAGCTGCGCGACTTGCATCCGCATATCTCACATAACGGGCTGCCAGACATTACGAAAAGAAATGGATAGGCATATGAGAATGCCACTCCAAGCCACAAACGGACGAGCAAGGGGGGAACTGTAAAAGGTGTGCGTATATTCAAGACGGTGGAAATTACTAGATGGACAGCCGTTTATAATGATAGTTATAATGATAGCACCGGAGCTGTTAGTTAGCCTAGTTATCACCTGACTTGCTAATACAGGCGTTGGGTGTATAGCATAACCACACATGCTGTTGTGCAACAGACATGTTCCTCGTTCGGGAGCATGTCTCACGAGATCAAGCCCTGTTCCGACGAACTGTCTCTCCCCCTCCCAGCGCCGCCTTCCGTGCAGAAGAACCGTGCAGTTCCGGGGATAACGTCGCTTCCTCCACCGAACCACTTTGCAGTCCCGGGTATGGCTGCGTCTCCTCAGCCGAGCCACTGTGCCGTTTCGGGGAGCTGGTCTCGCAGAAGAGTCCCAAAACGCTATTTAAGGCCGTGCCGGCCCCATGTTAGGGGGATTATGCCCCAGCCGACATTGTCGTGCTGGCCGGCTCTGTACAAGCGACGACCTGCTACAGTAAACGCTCCTTTGTTGCTGTTTTCAAAACGGTTTGCCTCCCTGTTTCGCCTTCGGGCTAAGGCTTCAGCGAAGTCCGCTTGACGGCTCGACGCTCTTCGCCACCGCTACCATCGCGACAGAGCCAATTCATAACAATACATAGCAATCATGAAAAACGCACGCATATACACAAACTCTCAGTTATTAACGCTTCATTCAGGTGTGTACAGGGTAAAGGCCTTAAAAAATCAGCGGCACATCGACCACTACCACGCCACTGCAAGTTAGCCCTGTGAAACACCAGCGGCGCTTTCGAGTTCAGTAGCGTTCACCAAATGCCTTGGCGACTGTAATGAGGAAACCACGATTTGGTTGTATATTACACTCGGAGCGATTGAGTATGCACCACACGCAGGTGTCGTGCCTGCACTCACCGTCGAACCTCTGCATGCGGGCGGCGAACTTGGCGCGCACTTTGCCGATTTCGTCTCGAAGCACGCGCTCGAACTCCTCCCGGCTTTGGGCGCTCAGCAGGTGCTCCATCTCCTGGGTGCAGCACGTCAGGGAGCGCTCACAGATCTGAAGGTGCTCTCCTGCGCATAGGAGAAGACAGTGAGGCACTCAGCATTGTGTCGACAATGTTACATATTGCACCGTATACACAAGAATACACAACGACAGCAACTTGCGGGCCGACGTCGAATGGGACAAGGTTTGAAAGTCAGATTAAAGGGAAAAGAATACATCTTAGCGTATACGCATCGCACTTTAAACATACTATATATATGTGTGTGTGAAAAACATTTATTCATAGAGAGTTTGCAGGTCCACAAGGGCCGTTTACACAGGAGGAGTCCTTATTCCGGGACCCCACTGGGCAATGCCGCTACCCACGTCCGTTGGGCTAGAGCTCTTTGAGCCTCCAGTCCAGAGCAATTGAGTGGGGCTGCCTCCGATGCCTCTCTAGTTGGGGAAGGGCTAGGAAAAGGGAAGGATTAATCTGATATGTCCACACCATGTGAAAGTTATCGGAGACTTCCCCACAGTGAGGGCACCGCCCATCGAATTTCGGGTCAAAATGTTTCACTACTGCAGGACACGACAAGGTGTTGGTCTGCAGGCGCCTTAGAGTTCGTTCATCGGCCTTACTCAGGCCCTTAGCAGGCACCGGGAAAAGCCGATGTTCTTCGCAATGGTACACCAGAATTTCTCTAAATCGCAGAAGCGGTTGGCTAGTCTCTCAGCCGGAAAAGCCGGTGCCCGGTGGTTAAGCGCGCGGGCGCCCGCATCCGCAGCCTCGTTGCTTCCAAGGCCCTGGTGGCTCGGAGTCGAAACAACGCGTTTCGGTGAGGAGTCTAAATCCCTGACGGCTCGCTTTAGAATATATATGACGGGCTGGCGTGTTTGTGGTGTCTCTATATCAGTCCACCCTACTACAGCTTAAAGCGCGATTGCCCTAGAAGAACAGGGTATATATATGCGCATCACACATCAGGGCACTGCTTCCAACATCGCCAAGAACTTGTCAGCGTATGTATGCACTTTCTTTGAAACGTTAATAGCGAGCGCTGACTCAACGTACACTCAGTGCTTTCTGCTGCTACGAGCATGAATAAGCTATAGAGCGCACATTCATTAAGCGAAATCTTTACGAGGCGACGACGCTCCCTGGTCATACCGAAGATAATTACTGCTGGGAACGTTATCACAAAAGCAAAGATAGAGCGCCTAAGAGCTACGTATGCTAATATATGCAAGAAATTGTGGGAGTTAACCACGCGGGTAAACACATGATGTAGGCTATAAAAGTGCCAACTACGTGTCAGAGTGGTATAACGCAGTTGGAGCGACGATAAACGCAGAACGCCTCGCAACAACGTTGCATAATCTCACTGAATACCGCGGACAAACCGATTTTTCTTTCTTTATTATACAGAGGCTCCGTGGGGAAATCGAAATACACGACAGATGAAAAAAAAATATAGCTACAAGTGAGATAATACATGCACGCGACACGCAAGCAGCCAGGTATAGACGCGGTCGCAGCCGTTCTCGGCGCCAGCTTACTTAACTACGACGACTTGGCGCACCGAAAAATGACAGTTGCTTAGCTCAGCTATGCCAGGATATACGTAGCGTTAGCAAAGCTTCAGCTGATTATTCTTAGCTTTCCAGATATCATGCTTACAGCTGTTCCAATGACACACACACACACGGTATACGTATTACGTAACACATGTATATTTATTTTGCCGGGCGACTACTTCGGGATCCGATGAGTTAAGCTTCTCCGCTCTACTGCACCGTTGAGCAGCATTTGCACTCTCCTCCTCCATGGCTATAAAACAGTGGCAAACGCCAGTCAGAGGTGCTATCAAGCGGCTCCAGCGCAGTGTCAGATGGCGACTGCACAGGGAAGGCGCGCGCATCGGCGTCCATATGTCTACGAAGGCTATGACGGCACTCCTCTGGAAAGCGCACACCGGCGGCGGCGAGTCGCGCGCGGCCGCGGCCGAGTGCGAGGGAGGTGCCGGCTCCGGTGGGTGACACCACTGATCGTCTGCGCAGCGCATCGAATTGCTCGCACACCGGCGGCGGCGGAGTATAGGCTGGTGCACACCGGCGACTAGCAGAGGTCGCGCGACCATTTGCTACAGGTCGCAAACAGTCGCAAACGGTCGCAAAGCGACTGCTTTGGCTAGTCGCTTCCTGACCGATTTTTCAGTCGCGCGACTGCAGTCACAAAGCTGCTGGAACCAACCAGCGATGCTCATTTTTTTTTTTCAACGCTTTGCAAGAATCGACGAAAACGATAAATGTGGCGCGCTCGGTTCGCTCCGTTCACTCAGCTGGCGGCGATCAGCTGATCGGCGCCGGTCTCCAGAGTTCTCGCTGATAACGAGATCGGGACGTGACTCTCCAGTTTTGCGACTTGCGGTCGCTCGCATGCAGCCTCTGCTGGTGTGAATATCAGTCGCTTTTTAGCAGCCAGTCGCGAGTGGTCGCACGACTGCTGCAAGTTGCCGGTGTGCACCTGCCTTATCATTGCGCATGCGCAGACCAGGGCCACGCGAAATTGGCTAAGCAAGGCCACTGTAGCTAACGCTACAAAAGCTGTACCCGTACACCAGCCTTCCAGGGGGCGTGTTATCGCAAGTAAATGCGACGTCTGTGTCGTGAACGAACAGATTAAAACTAGAGGCAAGGAAAGGCGGGTGCGCAGCATGAAAGCAGATAAGCAAGTCGAGAGTGAGTGTGTGTTTGTTTGTGTTCATTTACAAAACAGGGAGGGTGCAATGACGGCCACACCAACATCCCTTTCCTACGCGGTGTTTTCACATTCAATCGCCATTTTGTCCCCTTTGGCTCTCGATAAGGCGTGCCATTCGCTCACCCCCCCCCCCCCCACACACACACACCGCGCTAAAGTAACGCGCCGCCTGCTGTCGTTTCGTCGCACTTAAGAGACGTCATCGGAAGTTGGCGGCCCCACGGGCGTGCTTCACAAAACAGCCGCATGTGTTGCGTCGCACTATACACGCTGACGTCGGACAAAAGGACCGAGCGGTAGCCTCGGTCCCCTCCCACTTTTCGCGGCAAAATTAAGTTTGACGCGCAAATTTATTCTGTCGGGAAACCAGGAATAAGCGAACATGAACGGAATAAAGAAAGAACCCTTTAGAAGAGAGAAGGAGGGCCACCCTTCCAACCATGCAGCGACACGCGCGGAGACAGGCGAACGCCGCAAAAGGCTTCGGCAAAGACGTCGGCCAAGAATGAAGGGCAAGCAAAAGAACGCCATGGCGGCTGGGACTATTTCGCAGCGCCGGCAGCTTTTTTTCGCGAAGCCACAGCTAAAGGATTGTAGAGGCGCACAGGCGCTTCGACTAAGAAGGAACACGCGATAAAAAAAAGAAGATTAAAAGAAAAAGCTGAATAAGGAAAACGGAGTAAAGCGGGCCATGATGAAAGCACCGTGGCCGTCATCTCTCTCCTGAAAGTTCTTTTTCTTCTTCGTTTTAACGCGACCACGCCGAGATTTCAATTCGAAGAGCGCGCGCACGCATGCAGCCTTTCTCGATTTGAAAACGACGTTCAAATACCCTCCTCCTTTTTCTTCCTATAGTCTGGCTAGGCCCCTGCACCCCCACCCCCGCAACACCCGGGTCTGCTTTGCGTTGCTGCGCACGTCAGCGCGCACAGGTTGCGCCCTCGTTTGAATGCGTTTGCGCATGACGCATTATGGCTGGGCGCGGTGGTGTTGTGTATGCGCGCCCGCTGGCTTGCTTGGACGGCGTCTGGGATAAGAAATGGCAGGCGCTCAGGAGGGCTAAGCGAGAGAGTATAAGGAAAAAACGAGAAAAAGAAAGAGGCTATAATGCGATCGACGTATTTGGGACCGCGCGCGTCACGACAGACCGAATGAGTCTTGCTCCACCTGTCCGATATGCGATCCACAATATGCGCGAATCGACGATAGTTGAGAAGGCGGCACGTCGAGTGCGATAACGAGGATGCGATAGGCAAAAAAAAAAAGGGTGACAGAGAAGCAGAAAAGGACGAGCGTTTTATAAAACCAAGAAACGTCGACGTAGAACGGGACAACACTTTGTAAGAAGAGGAAAAAGAAAATGTGCACGGAACAAACGTTTGGAAAAAAGACAGGGACGCGGCGATTTGCACAGAGAGCGCCAAATAGAATCGTCAGGAACCCCGACGCCTCCTTTTAACTGGGCGCGAGAAGTGGAGAAAAAAAAAAAGAAAATATAAAGGAACGAGGATGCCGTGGCGATGACACGAAGGGTGTAAAAACTGCGAACAAGCACACAACGAGCACAACGAGACGCGCTGTAATATATTTGCGCAATCGATATATATATATATATATATATATATATATATATATATATATATATATATATATATATATATATATATATATATATATATATATATATCGATTGCGCAAACGACAAAAGAAGAAGACTCAGCAGGTCGGAGTAGAGCAACGTTTTGGTGTTCTTTTTTTCTCACATTGAAGTAAAAGGCATATTTAAGGAGGAAATGTAGAAACGGTGAACCAGAAAACACAGTAGGCGTGGGGGGTAGGTGAAGAGAAGCAGGGCGGTACCACCACCCGAGCGTGATGATGGAAGGTGGGCGGCTGCAGATTGAAACCGGATGAAAGGCCCCCTTCTCTCCGGTGGACGACGACGCGACAACAGTCAGGGGAGGGGGCCACGCGACGACCCTCGACCCCGGAGCAAGGCGCACCGACCGGAAACGCGCCAGATTAGCAGCCAGCCGCCTCCCCAATAAGTAACAAGAAAGTAAAAAAAAAAAGAGGGGGGGGGGGTGCGCACCGGCTGTGACCCTTGCACGCGAGAGTGGATGCAGTGCTTGAAGCGAGAAATAAGGAGAACAGAAGAAACAGTATAAAGTTGGGCCTTTATGATATATGTATATACCTAGGACGTGAGGACGCGGAGGAGAGAGACGTCCAGAAATGGCTCGGCTGCCATGTAGCGCACCGGTGTCTTGCGGAATAGTAGTAGTCGTAGTAGTAGTGGTAGTGGTTGGAAGAGGAAGAAGG